AGTTTTAGTTTAAAATTCAGAACTTGTAATTCATATATTTTTATCCCATAAAATCATTACAAAACAGTCATTTCATTATAAAATGCAAGAAGAGAACATATTTACAATTATATAACCACAATAATATAAATCTGTATCACACCCGCTTCGGCCGGCAGCGGTTTGAAACTGTACAACTGATTTCTTTGACTACTGAATTAGACATTTCTTAGTAACCAGCAGTGATATTGGACAAACTAATACGCGTTTGGCTATAAGGTAATGTACTTATTAACTACACAAGGTGCCAGTTACTCTAGCATTCGTTAACATTGCATAATCAATGGACGTATTATTCCTTTAACATTACAATACATTTTTTATCAATAATTATATATAAATTCAACCATTGATATTATCTAACAGAGGGACCAAATGTTGTGAAAAACAAAATTAACTTCACATTAACCTTTTCTTATAGACGGAACCCCTATACACTGCGTATGAGAACCTCGTAACTTTACAATGATTCTGTCAATGGTCTATGAGAAAGGGCAACATTAAGACTAATTTTGTTACAGACAACAGACAAAAGACAACAGGCCTCAGGATACTTACATTTCTATGAAACTTTGTGAATGAATGGAACATGTAAAATCGATGCATGTAAACAATGGCTGTATTAATGCATAGCTGAGTTCTGAACCAATAGTCAAGGATTGAAATCAATAATAAATGGCAAGCAACAAAGACTATTAATTACTATGTATCTCACACAATAAGAAAATCGGCCATATAGAAAGGATGTTTAAATATAAAATGAATATGAATGTGATCATCGGATAGAAAAATTATGTTAACAATGTTTAGATAGACTACTTGTTATGGAGACAAAATTAGCATGAAAACAAATAGCAAAAGTATGCCTTTGATATGCCAACATTTAAGAAACGCTATAAGAGTAACCAGAGTACCCGTACCTCAGTTAAAACACGATTAATCGGTATTCACAATATTTGTAAGATAAATTAACTGCAAAATCATATGGTACATAATTAGTAATTTATTTAGCTGAAAACATCAGCTTATTGGACAGACAACGAGGTCTTAGAAAGAGACTCCCAGGACCCATGTAATAATTAGTTCATTACCTGTCAACAGTCAACGAGTCAGTCTGAACAACATAAACTATACATGTTATCCTAGGCATAATTAACTGCAAAACGCCGTTTTGAAATTGCAAAGGAACATTTACTTCAGAGTCAGAGATACATTGTGTTGTGGCTATATTGGTAATGCCTAATTCAGTAATGGGTTAGACTAGAGTAGGTGCATTGTACTTGTAAAATTGTTGTGACAGTGTACTTAAAATGTACATATATTGCCATAATTAGTCGTCAAAACGTTATGTGTCTTGCTCTGTGCCGCGTATGGATTACTCATGCATGTTTGATGGTGTAGGTAAACAATTTTTAACGGTAGAAAACGTGGCGTCATAACCTCGCGGAACTATATTTAACAAGCGTGCCAACTAAATTTGCGTCTTAAAAGTACGTTCATATATAAAGAAAGGATACACGTTGAGGCGTTGTCCCATATCCTGTATTAAGTTGGCTGCTTGTTGTCTATAGGAGAGTTCTTTTTCGGCGTCTATTCCACATCGGCGACTGGGAGAATTTGTAATTTGTTCTTTGGTAAAACACCATCGTTCAGCCTTTGCCGCCATTACCCAGCACCAAGACGGACGATCCGCAGCAAACGGCCGGCTTGCATGATGATTAGTCGATTATTGACGCTTTTACTTCTAAATGTTTGTTATTAACAGTAATATGACAGTAAAAATATGCATGAAATTGAATAAATTTTGCTTTGTTTTTACTTATTTATTTGTGAAATATATTGACCAAAGAAGAGTACATAACAATAAATTGACCCAGGGCATTGAACTCTAGTTGACCGCTCAGCCACATGCCGTCAGCCAAGCCAGCAGAGACTTTCCGTTACCCGCCGAAAGGTGTCGCGGTTCTATCTACGGCAATGATCCAGACGATAAAGCCACACTCTGCCCCATTAGAAACAAACTCTATTAAAAAATATTCGCAAGAAAATGCATTTTTTCCTAGGAGTAGGAACTGTAAGACATATTACATTACACAACCCGGAACGTCACACCTGCGTCACGGAACATGACGCACACCTAGCGGGCTGTAACGAAACTAAATTTCACTTAGAAGATTCACGATTCGGAAAGTGACCCGGTGAAAATAATAATTCGTGCATGATGTAAAGTTGAAAAGCAATGTCTAGTTAAATAATGTATTTTATTTAATTGATTCTAAATACAGTTATACTCAATATCAGCGCGAACAATGGGAGCAGTTCATGCAAAGGTATTGTGCACTCATGCTACTAGTACTACAATACATAGTCATAGTTAAGCTAGATAACAATTATAAAGCTCTCTACTCTAGTACTATAGCCCGCGTTCGATTAACGCAGTGGCTGGAAGTACGCCAGCCGTCGGTCGTTCAAGCCCCTTTTTTGCG